AACTAAAAAGGAATTTTAATTTCATTTGAGAATTTTATGTAAACAAAAAATTCCAAGAAATGCGGCTTCGGCATTTCTTGTTAGAGTTAGGATTGATATAAAATAAGCAAGTATTGTAAAAGTAGTTAGTAAGAGAAAAGACTCGTAAATAAACGAACACGCTGTCCGATATATTTTTTAAAAACACCAAATGTGTGTTTAAATAATTAATTGGCGATCCTGCCAGCAGGACTTGATATAAGTAAACCTTGTGCGAAAGGGTATATCATAGTCCATTAAATAAAAAACCAGTATCCCGTAAAAAGGGAGAAAAGTTAAATAAACCAGATTTAAAAAAGTATCCCATGAAAAAGGGAGAAAAACCTAAATAACCCAAATTAAATTAAAGCAAGTATCCCATAAAAAAGGGAGAAAAGTAAAAAAACCAAATTTAAAAAAAGTATCCCACAGTTAAGGGAGAAAACCTAAGTAAACCAACTTAAAAACAAATAGCGGTAAATTATTACGCGAAAAAAGGCCACACCTTTTCTCGATATTTAGTATCCGTGCAAAGTGAAAAAAGCCCCAAGAACGTTTAACCAAAAGACTTTGCTTTGAGAAGGAAAAAAAAAACAACGAAAAAAGAACCCTCATAGAAGACAACAGGACCAGGAGAAGGAGCAGCACCATTTACATATGTAAGAATAGTTTAGTTTAAGTATTTTGTTACTCTTATTAAGTAAATATGACGGACGCTCTACCAGCGGGCCTGGATTGTGAAGAGATAAATAGGATGGTAGAAAATTTAGAAATACAGGAAAATCTGGATGAGGTTACGAAAAGGGTTGTAAAGAAAAAATACGTTGTTGACGAAAACATAAGGAGCGACGAAAGATAAGTTGCATGGCAGCAGTTTTTAAGTTTATAGGAAAGAATAAAATAGCCACTCTTGAAGATTATTATAATCAAGAGACCTTGGAGTCAGAGACAGTTGCTCAGATTCAAGTATCAAAGAGATATATGAAATCAAGGCATATTAAACAAGGTAGAAGTGATTTTGACATTTCTCTCTTTTGAACACCGACTATAATGTCAAATGATGAATAACTTTTAACCCTTTTCAAGTTGGCATTTTCTAATTTTCATTAAAAATTCAATTGTGCTTTGAGATAGTTTTGAATTGTGTGAATTTGTTTTTGTTTTTCGACCACATGCATTTATAGATACATACATATACAAAAATGAAAAGAAGCAGGAACTACGAGCGTTGCATTGTGTGGAAACTGGTGCGATACTTTAAGGCGCCTAGTTGCGAAGTTAGAAGACTTGGTTGCCTGAAGCCACGGAATTTCAGAACTGAGTAAAAGCTTAAACAGACGGCAGCGTTGATCCGGACTAACTCGGACTTAATCCGGATCAACTGCAGCTAATTCCCGAGTTGATCCGGATCAACGCTGCCGTCTGTTTATGCTTTAAGAGAATTTTCTTACAATATTATGCACACATAACTGCATTAGGGCCTAGATTTACATTAATATACATACGTATGTAGAAGAAAACATTAAATCGTTTTTTATAAGTGGGGATGTTTTTTAGAAGTAAATATTTAACTAAACGCGCAAAAACATTGGGCGAATAGAAACAAAAAATGTTTAAAACAGTTTCATAAAACATTTATTTCATTTAATGACGTGGTTTCCTTTATGAGGTATTCTTTTCAGTCCATATGTATATGTGCATATAAGATGCGAATGCAGCTAAAATTCTTTGAAGGTAATATTGAAGTAACCCAGCAAAAAACACGATGACCACAGAAGCGAAAGTGAAAACGAGCTAGGCGATGGGGATCGCTTATCCTTTCGCTTCAAGAAGGCATTATTTTAACATGGGCATGCCATGGGCGGTAAGCCCTTACCCACAGCATTACCTTCAAACGAAGGGAGAACGCATGAATAAACAGAATCCAGAGAAGCGAACAAAGAATGCCTTACAGAGAAACTAATGTAGAATGCCTAGATAAGTACATACTTATTTATATTAAATTGAAATCAGAAAATGACTTAAAAGATTAAAATTAATTAAAATTTTTATAAATCAGTTTTTATACATACATACATATGTATATATTAATGTATTTAGATTTTACTTAAAAATCGGTATGAACATAAATGCATATTTAATTAAGCTTAAAATTGTACTTCCTCACTCTTGTACTCCACTTCATTGACTGACTTCAACTTCGCTGCAAATTGAACAAAGCAAAACATGATTTTTATGCGAGACAAATTTCCACAGAAAGGTGAAAATCATATATTTAATACTTGCGCCGGGTATTTCATGTTCGGCTCCGCCCGAACTTAGACTTTCTTACTTGTTTTATTTCGCTTCTTTGCTTCATTTCGGGGAATGCAAAGTAGAATGCTGCAGCGTAGTCAGCTGAAAAATAGAATGAATATCGAAAAATTCTTTTTCTACCGTTAC